GTTGTTCGCGCTACGTTTTGTAAGAGGCAAGAATGCCATGAGTCCACTTCAGTGCAAACTGCAACTGCTGCCAGCGACTGAAGTTTCAGGATTGTAAGGCACAAAATCACAGCCTTAGCAATGGCACGAGGACCACATAGGAGTAGTCTCCTCACCGAGTAGCAGTACCCAGCATTATGCTGATATTCGCAAATAAGCGGAGCACAAATGCAAAGGCTGCAAGACTATAGAGTATGGTTCGCTAGCAGGTAAAAAGACCTGAAAAAGAATGTCTTGAGTTACTTTGTTGTATCCGGTTTCACGTTTACTGTGAGCGCTTTCAGAAGTTCAGGTTTCAGGTTATGAGCTGCTCATATCAAACAATAAGGAGATGGAGTCGATGGCCGGTGCACAAATGCCATTCTTTTTCAATGTTGCTATTTTTGACAATCCATTACTAGTATTGGACTGTGTACACATTCTAGAGTACTACTCTTGGAAGAGAAGAATTCGTGGAAACCGAGAAAACTGCGGTAATCTGAACTAATTTTTTTTTGCAAGTGGCACACATATGAGGAATTTTGATAAGCACTTCAATATATAAACCACAACTTTGTGTGTCGGTTTGTTTGTGTGTATGTATGTATGTATGTCTGTCTGTCCGTCCGCAAAATGAAGTGAGTGATAAAGCTCATGGATAAACAACCGCTAACAAATCGGGTAGCTTACAGGATTTGAGCTATCAATGTTTTGCAATGGCATGATTGTGATAACACCCAACGGCTATATAAACACCTACTTAGCACACTTCCGGTCATTCCACAAGGTGCTGCATTGCAGTGGCAGGTGGAAGAGCAGTGGAGGGAAGAAGCAGAGCAGGAGGAGCGCTGACCTTACACACAGAGTCCAGAGGAGAGGTGCGGCGTTTGCCTCGGGACCAATCTGATATCACATAACTTGAGAGAGACATGATACCTCGTATTCTCCGCTCATGCTCATATATTGGGATGTTCCAATATATTCGGAAGTGGTGTAGTGGCAAGTGGCACGCTTACCACGCGAGCGGTCCGGGGATCAAATCCTGGGTCGTGAGTCGCCCGGGCCAACCAAGCCTTCCATCCCTCCGGGGTCGGTTAATTGGTACCAGACTTGTCTATAAAAACACTGACTTGTACATCGGCTGGCCCCCGCAAGTCATTGTATAGGCCACATCGCATTCAAACGCCACTACGAATGTACAAATGGAAGTAGAATGCGTGCCGCATCCCAAAAGGGATTGATCAACGGCAAATGCTTTATCCTATCCGTAATTTACCATCGCTCTTCTGAACGACTTTTCATCTAACGCATCTTTGCATTTTCAACCATGACCTCTGACTATGTAATAGATAGCTGGAGAGGTAGAGGTCTACCAGAACTAAAATTTACATTCAGCTTTCACCTTTTAAAAGGCTAACTTCCTACGATGATAATCTTTGGAATTTACGTCACTCCCTTTCCAACCCTGATTCAAGAATGACGCATTCTAGCTGCCATGTGATGGTTTCAAGAATGCCGTGGCTCTTCGCGTCTCGAACCTTGAAGACTGGCAACAGCACCATTGTTTCCCGTTATTGATTCTTACCCCTACGCCACCCCCTCCCGCTTACCCTCCCCTTTGGAACAAATACGACCCCCTGTCGAAGATTTCCTCGACGTTGTTCACACTGCTCCAGAGGACCTTTTCGTGCTACTCAGCGCAACCACCTACGTCTCCATCTTTCGCGTCTCGTAATCCGCTTAGGCGCCCGTCCATTCATAGTCTAGGAGCCTATGCACAAGTGGTGGAGATACAGAAACTTGGTGGAGTGTTTTTCGCTGGATGGTGGTACACATTAGACCGCGGGCTCATCACGTGCTGCGCCACAGGCTTGACAAGCTGAAATGGAAAGAGGTTCGTAAAATTTGATAGTTGAGCTAGTATTAGGTCGTGAAGAAAGTTCTTGCGCTTTTGGACCTTGATTTTCAAATGCCTGTATCTCGGCTCATTCGAAACCTTTTTGATTGGAGTAAAGACTGTTAGAATCCACAAACCTCTGCCAATAATAGCTGCGTTGAATCAGCCCGGTAGTGCAGAATACTGGAGCTCTAGAGACGATGAACCCGGCGGAGGTCGTTTCCGCATCATGTTGGTTTTTGAAGCATAACTCTTTGGAGAAGCTATCCAGGTAGTCGAGAAAGTGACAATTATAGGCAAAAGGTCTACCGAGTAGGATGTCGCAAAACTAATTCGTGGCAAATCTTGTTCAAAGCATTATATTACTTGGCTTATAATTCACTGCCTATATTCAGGATGTGAACTCGACGGACCACTAACACAAGCACTTGCGCTTACTCTAGAGGATAACTGCACTGTGTTCTTTGGCAACTTGATTCTTCGAGGGACGGACACACCTTCTTACGAGACTCTGCTGCGAAAGTTTGGCACTGCCACTAAAATATCTGGTGAAATAGCCGTGATCGATACGGATTTCGTGGATTTGAGTTTCTTTGGCAATCTACAAGAAGTCTTTGTTGAGTATGACCTACAAGGTAAAGTTTTTTTACCTGGGCTCATGCCACCTTGAAGAGAGGTATGAAAGTGCCAACGAACATAGCGTCTATCGTATTCTATTATGTTTAGCTACCGAATTTGTCGAGAAGTTCTTGCGAATTGAAAATAATGAGAAACTGCAACGACTAGGCTGGAATGCGTTGGAGGTACGTCGGTTGAGTGGCCTTCTTGTTACAGCCAATGAAAGCGGGATGTAAGCTGCGTGACGTGCTCGCCGCCATCCACTGTTTTCCGCACAAATTGCGCCAAATTCTTCCCCCCTCCTCCCCACTCCGTTTTTGGCCACTCGGGTGACAATGCCTTCTCAGCTGGAGCTATTATTGTCAAAAAAAGAGCAATTTAAGACTTCTAATAAATTTTTCCGGTAGGAACTAGTCCCGATTTTCCCGGTCGAAATTCATCCTCTCCCACTTGTTCTGGAGCTGATGCTATGATAAAAATGTGTTCATTCCGCTATAGCGACGAAGATTCACATTGAACCCGTTTCGCTAAGGTGAAATTAATTCTGTGAGGCATGGAATTCCATTCCTTTCAGACGAATGAATGATTTAATGAACAATGCTGAACACCGGAACGGCAGTTGCTTTAAAGACAAACCCCGGGATTGGTCCGGCTAGTAGGAGGGATACCGCTAGGGAAATTGCAAGGACTGTAACTACCTAGATCACTCCACCTTCGTCGC